CGAACGCCCGTCGCGGGCAGCGGCTGCAGCTCGGGGAAGCGGCGGGACCGGGAGAACCGGTTTGGGGCCAGACAGGACCTGGGACCCACCCTGGACGCTTCCTCCCGGCCTCGGCCCTTCCCGGCCCGCATCCTGAAGCCGGAGCCGGCGGCCTGACCCCGCCTTCCGCGCCCCAGGTCGCCCCCTCCTGCTTGGCTGGCCAGCGGCCGCCCGCCCCTTGGGGCCCCAGGCCCCGGCTCCCGGACGCCTCCGTTGCGTTGCGCCCCGGAGAAGGCAGGGTGGGCAGTGGGCGCGGGTCTCTGCCGCTGGACCTTGTTCCGCCCGCTGCCCCCTGGCATTTTACCCAGCGGCCTTTGGGCAGATTGAAAGGGAGAGCGCCCAGCTGCCCAGACTTCCGCTTCTGCCGCCTCTACCCCGTCCTCACCCCGACCCCACCCCCACCCGAGACCCTTGCTTTATTAAAGTCCGGAATGGAATTTCCTGGTCCCTCATCACCACGCTCCCTCCTGCCAGTTCCCACTCACACTTTCCCTCCACCCAGCCCTGGCCTGTTCCCTGGAAAGGGAACAGAAATGTCCTTGTTCCCTCACTGCCCCTTCCCCCCTCCTCCCCTCCCCTCCCACCTTCCACCTCTGTCCACTCAGCTGAGAGTAGGGAGGGGACTGCAGGGGAAGAGGCGGCCTGACTGGCCCTGTTGGGGTTTTCCCCTGATTCTCCATTGTTTTTCTCTGCTCCCCGCCCCGGCCCCCAGTGCTGACCCTGGCGGGGGGACCCAGCGTGCAGACCCCTGTGACTGCCTGCCTGCCTGCCTGCCCCACTGACCAGCTCCCCCGGCCAGCCGGGCTGGCTGTGTCCACCCCTCGGCAAGGGAAGGGAGAGCCCGTCCCTCTGGCAGAGGCTGGCCCAGTGTTCCACGGGGCTGCTTGTGAACCCCCGTTCTCATACCGCCAGGGCCCAGGCAGGCCAAGCGAGAGGGCCCCGGGGGTCCCTGTGGTGCGGGGCGGGGCCCTGCGGTGTGTATGTGGGGGTGTCCAGGTGTGGCCTGGCCTGGCCAGCAGTAACGAAAGCACAGGACATTCCTCCTTGGACTTTGAGGTCACCGCAAGCTTCCTTCTGTCTGGTTGGCTGATGAAGCTTGGGGTGGGCGTGGGAAGGAGGAGAGACAGGTCACAGCACGAGGGGGCCTGGCCTGTGGGGCGAGGCGGAGCCCCGGCACGCCAGAACATGCGAGGGGGAGGCTGGGAGGAATCCCGGGGCAGGAGCTAGCCAGGGCCCGCCCCAACAGGTGAGCCGCACGCAGGTGAGCTGCGCCCATGTGCGCACAGACGCGGTCCTGGCCGGCCCGTGGGGCTGCGCAGGAGGTGGGGTGCAGCCTGCGGGGCGGCCTCAGGTGACCGCCGGCTCTGGCTCCGGGAGGGGTGAGGGGCAAAAGCAGGGCTGCAGCCGGCAGCGGTCAGCCGGGGGCCAGCCTGCCTTGGTCTTACGCCAGGTGTCGGGGTGAGAGGCCAGGGTGGAGTGGGGTGGAGCCCTTGTTGGTGAGAACAGAAAACCACCGTTTCCTCTCACAGTCCCTGCGTGGCCCCTCGCCACGCAGGAGAGGGGTGCTCCCGCTGCTGCTTCTGGCCCGTCCCCTCACCTCCCCCCGCCCGGCCAGCAGCTGCTGCCCCTCTGCCCGCCCGCTCGGCTCTCCGGTCCTTTTCCTCTCCAGCTGGCCGGTTTTGGGGCTTGGGCAGACCTAACGCGGGTGCAGGCCAGCCCCCTGGGCACAGACACGGGTGCTCGGGGCTCAGGGACGCGGCTTCTGGCCTCGCCCTTCTCACCGCCCTGTCGCGCGCAGGGTTCCGAGCCCGGGAGGACCCGACCGCCCGCCGCCCGCGCTGGCCCGCTGCCCGGGGCTGCCCTAGGACCCGGCCTGACCTCTGGGCCCGTCCGCCCGGGAGCCGTGTCCCGGCCTCAGGCGAGGCGTGAAACTGGAACCCTCAGGGAACATGAGTGAATTTTGGCACAAACTGGGCTGCTGTGTGGTCGAGAAGCCCCAGCCGGTGAGTGTCCCCAGCCCCACCAACGCCAGACACCGGTTACCTAGGGGAGCCGGGCGCCCCCGGGGCTGCTGGTGGGAGCCGTCAGCGGAGCTCCTGGACCCCAGAAGAGCGTCTGTGGGGTCCAGGGCGCGGGTGCTGAGAAGTGGCCCCCCTGGCCTGCAGGGCCGGAGGCGGAGCCTCAAGCTGTCAGCCTTCCCCATTGTGCCCTCATCAGCCAGGGGTGACTTTGCCACGTCCTTCCTTGTCTGGGCTGCTCTCGGGCTGCTGCCCCCTCCCCCCGTGCCGCCCTATTTAGGGTGCCCAGCCCTGTGTTTGGGCCTCCCGAGCCCCTTCCCACCCCCTCAGCCTCGCGCCAGGCCCCATCCCTTCAGCTGATGCTCCCCACCTTTGCCCTGCAGAAGAAGAAGAGGAGACGGATCGACCGAACCATGATTGGGGAACCCATGAATTTCGTGCACCTGACGCACATCGGCTCTGGGGAGATGGGGGCCGGAGACGGACTTGCCATGGTAACAGGGCGTGGGCGCCGAGGCGGGGTTGCGGTTAGAGCGGTTCCCCTTTTTGAAGGTTCAGGCTGGGGCCGAAACAGTGCACGC